AGCGTAAAGGCTCCTATGGTGGTCAAATCCGGCCCAGGCGAGAGACAAACCAACGCCAAAACCAGTGTTTCCAGGGGATGCGGCGCCTGTAGAGCCTTCTGCTAACCCCGAGCTGCGCCTGCAAGGGAGCAGAGCTGAATAAAAAAACCCCGCTGTCTCCTTACGCTGCGTGAAACAGCAGCTGTCTTGGGACAGACCTCAGTTCTGGGGAAAGAACGCAGAGTTTTTACATTCAACTTATTTTGAACAATTTTTAATTTAGCACCCCGTTCCATGAAATGTAAGGATGCAACGGCACGAAGACGGGGCAGCAGGATGCCCCTCAGCGAAATGGTCCTGGAGGGACACGCAGCTCCCGAGCCAGGCAGACACGCTGATGGTGAAGAAGATGATGTGCAGAGGCAGTTGTACAACAGAGCTTTATAGTCAGAGTGGATTGTACCAGGTTTTTTTTGATGCAAAATGGAACATGACCCAAAATCTTCACAGAACAGAAGCGCTTTCAGGAATGCAGCCAGCTGAAGCTCGGACGCCTGCCTGCCTGCCTTTTCGCAAGAGAGGCCACAAACCGGTCACGTCCCCATCACTTGTTCCTCCCCAGACGTACAAAGTTTGAACGGTCCCATGCAATAAAAATCACATGAAACGTAGGAATGCTCAGAGAAGTAGGCAGATGCTAATGGCAAACAGACCTGAACAATGTACTGCTCATGCAGCAAAAACCCAAGTTTGTTTCATAGGGAAACAGTTACAAGTGCAATTTGGAGGCTTGGGGAAATAAAAAGAAAAATGGAGCAGGTTACTGCCTGCTGGTCAAGACAACTCTGTGGACAATGGATCAAAAAAACACCTTGCTTTATAGGGACATAGAAGGAAACCCCAGCTTGGATTTCATGGTTGACATTTTACAACAAAAACGGGAGAGGGAGAACAAAACCAAACCTCAAATCAACCTGCAAGCAACAGGGTAATGTAACGCACAGAACTTGGAGGGATCTTCACCATCTGAGCTGCGAAAGGGACACCAGAACCAAACCAGAAGGGGGTATGGAGAACTAACAAGCTCCATCAAACACAGGGGCTGCTCACGGAGACACAGGCAAGTGCAAAGGGCTGGCCTGCAGTGCCCATCCAACAGCAACCTTTGCTGCTGAGCAGGCACCAATCCATGGGTTGAAGTCCAAAGCAAACACGAAAAGGCTTCCCAAATTCGGGGGGTAGGAGACGGCTCTCCACCTAGGGCAGGGCAAGGCAGCAGGCTGGCTGCCGGGAGGCCCGGCCCCACGCACACAGCCACAGTGTCGACAGAAGCTGGAGCAGGACGGACGCTGTCTGAGCCGCGGTGGTTGTCCTTCTGAGCGTAGAGAGGCAGCCCGTGTTTTACAGCGTGGCTGTAAAATGCCTGAGAAGCAAAAGCCTTGCCATGCTAACACTTCCCTGCAGACAGTTCTAAAGCTCTGGATATCTTCATTTCCGCATGAGAGTCATGTCCCTGAGAGGTACCGAAGGGAGGGGATTCTAGTATTTGCAAATTCAAGGGTGGGAAATGCAGAAAAGCACTGATTTTTCTCTCTTTTTCAGGTTAGCTTTGCACTTTGCATTGTTTTCCCAAACTGCATAGCAGCTTACGTGTAGTGTCTGAGACACTGGGGCCAAGGAAATCAATGGGGCTTCATCAATTCCAACAGCAGCACCAGTGAGTGCTAATTAAGCTGCTGTGCAGAAAGGTCCCGTTCAAAGGACTCCAAAATCACACACACTCTCTGTCACTCTGGCCCTGTGGCTGCTGTTTTAGAGAGCTGTACCACAGCATGATCTGCTCGGTTTAAACCTCATCAGCTGCTGGGTAGAGCAACGGCCAATATCACCTTTCTCATTAAAAAAATAGGAAGGATAAAAAGTTAAAGACTTGAGACAGGCGAGCACGATGCGTTCATGCGGCATGTTTTGTTGCACTCCTCTTAACAAGACAGGAATTTCATGTGTGCAGGAGTGGAATATAGCAGGGTCGGAGCAGGAGGCAGATCTCCTTTGCCTCCCACACCCTGCCAGCTACCCAACGGGGCATCTCTGGAAGGAGAAAAAACAACAGCCTGGAAGCGGGCTTGGGAACTGTGCCCTGAACCTTCCCCTTACTCAAGTACATCTCAGCTGGATTTTCTTTGTGTAACGAATGCACCAGAACAGCACACACAGATGTAAAGCTTTTGTTTTGCCAGTTCTGTTTTGAGAGAATATATGGCAAATGGCCAAAGCTTTACACATCTGCACCTGTCCTGGTGTGACTTGTGAGAAAAGACGGAGACAGCCAGGACAGAAGAGTCTGCTGCACGTGCATGCAGCCAGCCTACAGCTCCTCATAGTCCCCACCTCCTCGCGGCTTGCTTATGCTGGCTCCTCCTCCAAGAAAAGCCTCCAGTTCATCTATTTCATTGTTTTTCTCCTTGCTCTTCTTCTTCTTTTTCTTTTTCTCCTCCTTGCTCTCTTCCTTCTCTTTGCTCTTCTTGTGTTTGCTCTTCTTTTTCACAGACTTCTCCTCTTCCTGCAAAATAAGAAAACTGTTATTAGTAAATGCTCCAAGCACGCCAGTAACCCTGCATATATCACCCTGAAACTTGGCTCTGATGGGAACCTCACTTAGGGTGAAGCTATTACTACCAAAGCTGGCTTGGAGTTAATTCCAGAAGATCCTTCTGCGTTTGGACAGAAGAGAGGAAAGACCATCTGGTTTATACGTAGCAGTGGTCTGTCAGGCAGTTTGTGCCTGACAATACCATGGTACTGGACAGGCAGAAATGTCACAGACAAAACCTCCTGCAGACCTGCCCTGCTGCCTCCGAGACTAGGTCTGCTGGGGACACCCTTCTGCTTAGGAAAAACTCACGGTGCTATCAACAGACCTAGCCCAGCAGAGATGCACTGCTCTGTTTAATCCTAGATTTCAGACTCGCACACTGCCTTTTCAAAATTCAACTGTTCTAAAAGCTTGCTTTTAAGCTGCGAAGTGGTTAATTGTCTGTGAAGCTGGTGAGGCACAGGTCTGGCTGTAGGATGGCAGGATGGAAGGAAGTCCACCAGGTACACAGAGCATGCTGTAGAAGTCCACCCCTCTCCTTGGCTGGCAGATAACATGGCAGATCAGCTCTGAGGAATTAAACTGTACCTCTTTGCTTTTCTTTTTCTTCTTCTTTTTCTCCTTAGAAGGTTGTTTATCTGTTGAAACAAAAAAACCCCAACATTTTTTTTAAATCCATTTAAACTGTAAGAGACGTAATTCTGCCCTGCCCCAATTTCTAAGAACAAAATGCTCCATCCTGGAGCCATGTGCAATTGCAACTCCTCAGGACAAACTGTGCCCCTTTAGAAACCAACCCAGGCCCCAGCAATCACACCCTCATTTAACCAGGCACATCTAGCTTATTTAGGAGCATTAAATGATCTGTGTTATTCCATGTCATGAACACTGACCGGGACGTTCACTGCATCACAGCTACTAAAGAAACAAACACAGAGATCAGCTCTACAAACTGGTCCAACTGCCAAACTGGGGACCAGGTTATTATTTCTAGAACTGAAGAAGAGCTCTTGGGAACAATTTTGCTCTGACCACTAAATGTTAGAAGGCAGATGGAAATCCCACCAGGCACGGTTTGTGCTTCTGTGAGTCAAGCCAGTAATGGAAGGACTGTCCAGGACTCTGTGTCGGCAGATGGGAGCACCCTGGCAGGCAGCACGCGCTGTTGCTCAAACTGTGGGTGGAAATTATGTCACCATGAGGGCAAAGTGTCAGTGCTGCAGCCCCACTCTACAGGGGTGGCTGCCTTCACGGTATCAAATGAGTCCCAGAGTCCATCACTCAAATCATTTGTCCCAGGTTACTGTGGTTGATGACCTGGCTGCTAATTAGACTGCTGAGCATCCACTGCATTTGCACAAAAACTCCTTGAACAGGATGAGCACCTACTCGGCTGCTCCACAGGAGGGTTTATAACTGCACCACGTCTCACACGTGCTATTTGATTGCCAGTATTACCTACACATTCTTGTCCTTGGTTGATCTGTAAATACAAGTCAGCCACAGAGAAATCTAATTGCTGGTCAAGCTCCAACTGCCTGACTACCAAGACGTGTTTTTATATTTATCCCAGGAAGAAGAGCTAGGAGGAACCCACGATGAATTATTAAAGATGCTAAACTGAAGTTAAACTATTGACTTGGGCCTCTGCAGATACACTTTAGTTATTTCAAGCTGTGCTGTTCAGCAATACAAAGTGACAAGCTGATGAAGCCATTGCAGCCTGTGACACCTTGCTTACACTTTTGGAATAGCTATTCAGAGATCTCTCTCTGGTGCTACTTACAGCTTCTTCTACCCTTAAGTCTTTAACTTCTCATCTTTCATGGTGACATCAGGGGCAGATCTATAGGAAGTTGCTTTGCAGTAATGCCAAGAC